TTGCTTTTCTGTTTTTGTCTTCACATTACTTGATCACCAACCAAATTACGGAACAAATTCCCCGAGTTTGCAGGTAAAAACAGAGCCCCTCTCTCGAAACACAGATGCGGTCACTGCTCCTCGTCACATTTCTCGTGGCTCTTATTTCCTGTGAGTTCATTCTTGTCCGAATTCATATTTCTAAGGGCATAAAAATGGATTTGGGGGTATAATCAGAACTACAATAAGCTACAAGTAATAAAAACCGTCCTCGAATGCGATTTCGATAAGGACATTGCCCTTGTATTCCCCGGGCGCTCTGCAATGACCACACCACCACGACAAACAGACAATATTAAGGGAATTACCCTTCTTTTTTTGGGATGAGGTATGTGTCCTTCAGCCCCTGGAGGCCTGGGGGAGGGGGGTGGATTAAGAAATTCGTGCCCGAATGTCGTCCACGTTTTTTGGGTTTGGCAAGGATGGTGTTCATTCAATTTTTAACTTTCGCAAAGCGACGGAAATGCCCAAAAAATGGTTACTACAGGGTGTCCCAAAAAAAATCGACCCCCCTCTAGCGGACCGCAGAAAGCTCGGATCGGAATGATTTTCACACCATTCGAAAGCCCTTCAAACGGTGAGAAAACAAGCGCCTTTGGTTTTCCAAAAAATTTTAGCCTTCGCTCGATATTCAATGATTTCTGTAAAAAGCGTAAAACCAGCATCGTCCTGTTTGCTTTAGCAAGCAATTAACATGCCGATTTTGCATAAAATCTGCAGTTTTCATCGATTTTGGCCCTAAATTTAATGAATTAAAATTCCCATATTGAAAAACGAAAAGTGCTTGTTTTCTCGCCTTTTCGAGTGCTTTCGATAGATACGTAAATCGTCAAAATCGGACATGACTGCGGCCCGCTAGAGGGGGGTCGATTTTTTTTGGGACACCCTGTATACTACCGAAACGGCTTGAAAAAGTGAAATATTAGGGCATCAAAACACAAATTTCAAAACTGGTTAGCACAGAAGGATCTTGGAAAAGAGAAGCTTTTAGCGGACCTTTCGCATTTTTTTTGTGTCTGTTTGTAGCAGCAGAGCTTGCTGGTTACTAGGAGTGTCCGGGAAATTTTTCGCTGCTTGCAAAAAATGTAACAAATATTTGAAAAACTGACGTTTCCGCGGCGCTCTCGCGGCTTGCTAACAAAACTAGGCCCTCTAGGGGCAAAATAGCGATATTTACTTCCGAAAAACCGCAGCGCGGCGTCTTCGAGGTTGCGCAACGAATGAAGTCTTGTAAAAACTTGTAAGGTCGCGGGAAATAATTTTAATGGGACATGGACACGATAAACCAGACTAGAAAATCGGAAAGAGATCTGCAACACGCACAGGATACGGGTGTCCAGAGGAGCGACGCGTCGTCCAACTTTGGACAACGCGGCGCTCCACTTGACGTCGACCCCTTCACGCCTTTCAAACACTTTAAAGAAACTGTGAAAGTAACGAGGATAGGGTTTCAGTATTCCGAAAATTCCTATGAGACAGAGCGGGGGGAGAGAGAGAGAGAGCGCGAGAAAAAGAGCGTGAGAGAGTGAGAGAGAGCGTGAGAAAACGCGAGCGTGAGCGAGAGCGTGGAAGGAAATTTGTAGTTTTTGGGATGAAGGTTTTGCATAACTCTATGCATTACGTTGCCAGCCATTTCAATTTATAAATTATATTTATAAAATAGTTTATGGTGTTAAAATACAATCCGACGCTCCGGATTCCAGCGGTTACACCCGATCGGGGCGACGTGTGGTGGGGTTATCCGGGTCTGGGGTCGAAAACGCGGGTTGACCTGGCCCGGCGGCCATCGGGTCCGTCAGGTCAGCGAGGTAGACTAGTCATTAATGTGTGTATCTTTTCAGTCTTGAGCGTCTCCTCGGCGGCCCCAGCCGAGAATGTCGACGCGTACGTGCGATCGTGGGCCGACTACGCGCCCGAGCCCTTCCAGCTGAGGAAGAAGTGGAGCCGACTCGAGCCGAGCATCCGCTTCTTCAAGGTATCATTTTGAGGGTTTCATACTTGGAACATGCAAATTAAATACGAGCTCGACTAAGTGGATACAGTAACCGTAAGGAGGTGTTGATTGGAATTTCGAAAATGCGCATAAAAATTTGATTTAAAGTATTATTCAAGTTTTTCTCATAATAAGTTGAGAACTTTAAAGGCAAGCTAGCAAAGTTTCCTTCGGAAATCACCCCAAACCTCACATTTCGCCATTTCATAATTGATTCGTACCTTTAACTCTTCTAGGCACCTGTTTTCCGGCAGTTCAGCGACACAGCTGGAATTTTCTGAACTCTTAGATTTCAATTTATTTTTTAGTATTTGCAGCTGAAATTTAGCATTTTTCCGGGAAAATAACGTTCTTGTTAGTGGGCGGAAACCGGCTTCACCTGGCTTCTGAGGGGGCAGAATTTTCTAGCGATTCCTGATTGTTAGGATCGAGAATTATGGTGTTAGCGTACATCCTCCAGAACGCATCGTTTTTCCCTGACGTTTTAGGCCGTAGAGCAGGTGTTTTTATGGGAAGTAATTTGGCTTCAACAATAGATTTTGCAATTGCGTAGGCAGCTGACCTAGGTAGACGTGAACTTAATAACACTGAGCTATCGAAAGCAAATTGTACGCGGGAATCCACTTTACGGGGTGGGGTGGGCGGGGCACTGACCAACGCGAAAATGGCATTATGTTGTGACATTTTTAGCATATAGATAGTAAAGTGTAGCACGAGAATTGGGTTTCCGTGCCAATTAAGTAATAAGAATTTGTTTTGGATCGCAAAGGTCGTATAGTAAAAGGTTGTAAATCGGATTTTTTGGGACATGGTAGCTATGACACTGTGGCTACACTTTACTCCCCCCAGCCAGGATGTTCCCGCTATAACTTTTTTACATTATTGTAGACTAAAATTAAAGCTCTTGGAATATTTTCCACGCTCTATCGAATGGCGTTGCAAAAAATCCCGACAAAATAAGCAAAAAGAGTGGGGGGGGGGCAGGTAAAGTAAAGTCTTACCGACACTGTATCCCATTGAATTTTCTTATTTTGGAAAATCATAGATTTGGCGGAAATTGGAAAAATGTATTAGGTATAGCTAATTAGCGGTTACTGTAGCCGTTTTGCCGGCTAATAATTTTTTTAGCGAGGTCAAATTTGTTCCTGAAAATCTCTGGCTACCGTATAGATCTATGTAGCATCTTTGCTTTTTTTTGATAAGTCTGACCTCCCGCGGAGAAATTCACCAAATCTCCCATGCGCCAATAATTTTTCAAAATTCGGGTGCAGACGCTGCGACGTGTGAAATATTAATTGGTTGTGCGAGCCCCTCCCGATGAGTAAGCAAAAATGAAAAATCTCGTCAAAACCCTCGAGAACACGGAACGTCTGAGTCTAGCGGTGCCTAGGAACGTTGCGATATTGTTTCCATTAATGTGAGAAACCAGTGTCAGGGAGTACGAAACACAACAGTTACGTTCAAAAACATGTTTTTTAGCGTCACATGGACCTTCGGAAGTCTAGAAGCTTGCAAAAACAAATTAATTAGCACGAAAAATCGTGAGAAAAGTATGATGTTTGATAAAATAAAGTAAATTTCGTTAAAATACTATCAAGCTTGACTTAGAATTTTCTAAACTTGATTTTTCAGCGCTCCGGAGGTTATTAAACCTTCACCGAAATCACCCAAGCCCGCTTCATTTTCCTCTTCTCTTCTCTCCACCCACAGATCTCAACCAAACTTCAAAGCACCAAAGTCGCGACCGAATTCCATCATATCCTGTCTCCCCCCCATTCCATCAGCCCCCTGCAGTGCAGCAGCCTCCCATTAATGTGTGTATGCGTTGTGTGTCGTTCCATCCACTTCAGCCAAAGTCAGCCTCCCCCTTTAATGAACAAGAAACATTTTGCGCTTTGCTTTTTGTGTGTGCCGGTAATAAAGTGTTGGCCAATGTTAATTGGGATTTTAACGGGACAGGGAAGCAAAGATACAACGGAATCCAAAGAGAGAAAGAGAGAGAGAGAGAGAGAGAGAGAGAGAGAGAGAGAGAAGAGAGCGCGGGAGAGGGAGTGAGAAACTGGAGAGAGAGGGCACAAAATCCAAGATGATCTTTCGTACTAGTGAGGGCAAGATTCGGAGCGAGTCCTCTTGAACGTGGTTACGGTATCAAGCATCCTACGGATTTTGCCTTTAGCGTTCCTTTAATGTGAATTTTTCGTTGTTTTTCTTTTTTCCTAATTCCTACGCGAAGCCAAGGGCACTAAACTATACTTCCGCTTTCCCTGAGGGTTTTTGTTATTTTTTGAGCCACGATCAAAAATTGCAATTATGAAAGCCGAGATTCTCGTCCCGTTCGCCACCAGCTAGAACGTGCTCCTTCCGTGCCGACCATCATCTTCCCTTCTCCTCCTCTCTTTCACCCCACATCGGCAATAATGCCCGGGCCGCGGGGGAAATGGCAAAATTGGCAAACAAAAATCCCCTCGGGCTCAAAGCCGGGACGTCAAGGGACTTTCTGCGTAGCTCGCCTCGAGCAACCAAATACCCAATGGGCCTTTGGAGCCAAAAGTCGAACCGGGCGTTTGGAGGCCGGAGGAGATTTTTCGATTCGTAGTGGACAAGAGTATGTTGGCGAGTAGCTTCACAAGTTTATAATAGCTTTATTAACCAAAATATACATTAAATTCAGTATGCGACCCGTGCAATGAGAAGAATGAGACAGAGAACACGCGCAGCAGGAATTTGAGCAATTTGAATATGTACAACGTCCAAAACCTGATAAAGAAGTGAAAAAATATTTTCAACAAGTGAACTCGAGGAAAGAAAAATTAAAATCGAACGTAAGCAACGACTTGAGCAAGAACTGAGACATTTAGTATAAAACAACCTCAATAAAACCGTTCCGAATACCTTCGTGGTTGCCCCCGAACGTCTTCATGACTGCTCCACAGGGCTGACTGATTCCGGAGTTCACGCTCCCGGGCTAGTTGCTCGGCGTGTTCCAGGATGGAGACCTAGAAATAGCACAAATCAATTGATCATAAAATCTGACGCTGGCTGCTAATGATCTTTGCTAGCCTGCCAGGAGTCTGACTCAAATCTGCCAGAATACCTCAGCCTTAAAGGGACTCAAACAGCTTGGAAAGTCGCTACGGGTTGCATAGCTGCTAGTCCGAGAGCCTAAACATATACTACTAGCTCTGAAAAACCTGGTCATATATAAAGGCAGCTTGACAGCATACCCATTTCTACGTGTCACACTTCCTTTAAAAATCTGGATCGGCTAACTTACCTGTTTATTAACCTTCTTCTTTGCAAATGGAAATGCGATCCCGCTGGTGCTGGTCTTTGAAATTTTTGCACGCTTCGGCGCATCCGCTTCATCGGTTGACCCGATCCTCGCGATCGTCTGCAATGCAAAATTTCATTCCGTTTCCTTCCAAATTCCATAAATTTTCCGCTAAAGGACCCGGGGTGACAAATCGCCGTCTAGCCCCCTCCACCAAACCCCACAATTTCTGAACGGGGATCAAATTCTTTCGATGCGAGAGAAGAGAGCGGAAAGAAACGCACCACAACGGAAAAACCCGAAAAATTGGCGGAAATAATTTTGGTCGGGGCATCGAATTTCAGCGTAGGCGAGCATGAGGAGAAACGATGGAATTCGGGGATGCCAAAATTGGCGGCTCGTCATTGGTTCGGGGAGGGTAATTTGACGTTTTCTACCGATGGTAATTCGAGGATTGGCGAATACCGGCCGAAAATCTGGGGTCTGGATAGGGTAATATATTAAATTGAGCAAGCCAGAGCTAGGAAAAGCCGGTAAACTTTTTGCGATACATTTCGCTCTCTCGCTCTCTCTCGCTCTCTCTCTCTCTCTCTCTCTCTCGCTCTCTCTCTCTCTCTCTCTCCCTCTCCCTCCCTCGCTCTCGCGCTCTCTCTCCCTCTCTCTCGTTGTTTCTTCCTCTCTCCCGATCTTCCTCACCCTGGGTCTCACCAGTCTCACCATCTCTGACATTACCCCTTAAAATGCCAGGAAGGCGAATCCAAACCTGTTGTATGCTCATCCCCTGCTCCTGAGCACCAACACCCTCTGCTTTTGCCTTGAGGTGAACCCACAACATGGCCATGAACGCTAAACTCTGCAAAGCAGCGATGAGGAGGAAGGTGAAGCCGGGCAACCAGGAAACCTAAAAGTTATTTTAAGGCATTTTACGACTTTGTAATGCTTCGGTTGATACTTCGCCGGGCGCTAAACATAAAAAAAAAGCCGTTGTTCAAAGAACCAGTTGATAAAAAGATCAAACTTGCGTGATTTTTATAGCTCGCCTCGACTCTCTCTCTCTCTCTCTCTCTCTCTCTCTCGCTCTCTGCCTTTCTCCGCTTCTTTCCGGCTCAACCCACCGTCCAGCGATACACATTTGTGTAAAGTGCTGCCGTCAAAATAAACGCCGCATCAGCGCCGATGCCAAACAGGGCAAAAGTGCGACCAATTTCTGAGCCGGCGACGACCTGGAATTAAAAGACTTGGAAGATCAGGCACCAAACAGTCAAATACTGAGCACGAGTTTGAGCTCTTCAAATTTCTGAACTGCTCCTTGGGAATGATCAGGTCGACTGAACATTTGATTCTTCGATCTCAAAGTCGAGGATAGTATTTTGTTTTGCCTCGTGCTCCTTGGCTCCCCAAATTCCGGACCTGAGTCATAAACGAGACGACGGCCGGCTGGACCAATCCGGCGAAACAGCCAACCCCGTTCGCCGCATACATCATCCAATCATTTACGGCGACTCCTGAAATAGCAACATGCCAGGATGGACGCCGTGAAATGTGGAATAATCTGGATTTGATAAATCAGGGTTTACAAGAAGTCTGGGAATATCGGAAAATGGAGGTCGCGCTGAATCAAGCTCTGCCAACCTTTCTCAGATTTGGATCAGATCTAGCTTTTGCTAAGGGTTTTTTCTTAAGTTTAAAACGTATAAATCTAGAAGTGTCGAGGAATGGAAAGAAATGAATCATGGCTTGGACTTTGCATTATTTCGGCGTAAATTGGATTTCTGCTAAAAAATGTCAGATCATGATTTCCTGCGTTTCATACTTCGTAAATGTTGAAAATTGCAGAAATTGTCAAGGCTTTCAAACAAAATAGCACCCAAATCCCATAAATTATGACACCAAGGTTGCACTCCTTTAAAGAAATGCTCCCGCAACAACGACCCGACCCAAGGCTTTGTCGTTGATCCCAACTACCTAGGTCATGGAGAATATTTTGAGTTCGAACCTCCTTCGATTTTATTTAGCAACACAAAATTAGTTATTTGATTTTTACCAATTATAATCGTCCTCAGCGTCGACGAAGCAATTCCAATCAGTATCAAAGTTGTCTCCCGGAAGTTCATCCACTTTTTAAAGACCACCAGTCCGAACAGCGTTCCAAAAATCACTAAAAAATATATGAAAAAGCGCTTTTTTTCAAGAAATCCAATGTTTTGCAAACTCCAAACTTAATCAACTTACACATCAAATACCCGGTCCCGTTCCAATAGCCCAAATCTTCGGTATTCCAGCCCAACGCTGTTGTTTCGGTGCGTCGGAATACGTAATTGTTGATGACGGAGCCGATGCCGGCTGAAAAAACGGTAATTGAATTTTTTAAATGTGTCTGGTTCCGGAAGCACAAAAGTTTGAGAAAACCAAGAAAATGCCGAAAACTGACTGGTTCTTGTCTCGACTTGGGTGGTATAGGTGAGCATCAGCACGATGACGGTGATGAACATGAAGGCTCGGCGATGGCCAACTCGTTTTCGTCTGTACGTGTGTAGACAATCCTGGAAAGGAAAAATGGTTTTTGCTAGCCTGCCCTCTAGAAATCATAAAGTTTCTTTGTTTTCGTTAAATGGTCGGATATACTCTGCTCATTATACTCTCTCTCTCACGCTCTCGCTGTCTCGCTCAATCTCTAGCTCTCTCTTTCTCTCGCTCTTTTTCTCTCTCGCTCTTTCTCTAGATCTCTCGCCCTCTCTCTCTTGGCCCTCTCTCTCCCTCTCTCTCTCTCTCCCCTCTCACCTTGTACAACATGACGACATCCCCCACAAATCCTTTCACCTTCTTCACGCTGGATTGTGACGTGATGGTGGTCACTAAAACGTTCAGACGTGGATCCGGTTGGTTCCTGGTTTTTTCGTCATTTTGGCTGGCGGGCTCATTTCGATCATCCGCTTCATTTTGCCGGAAACAATTAAGGGCATCCGGTGGTGGGCCCGGCGCCAGAAGACCGGGTTAATGAAACTTTTCTGCAGGGAGGTTTTCAAAAGCGAGTCTTAGCACGGAAGGCACGAAAAATCAAAGTATAGTTTTTGCGAGTTTTGCTAGTATAGTTAGAATTAAGAGTGTTTGCTAGTTTTCGTGGGGTTTTCAGAAAATTGTACACGCCAGGGTGGCAGATAGAAAACAACAGAGGAAAAAAGAGAGAGAGAGAGAGAGAACGTGAGACAGCGTTAGCTACGTAAAGCTACTGAGAATCCCATAACGTACCTCGATTCCTGCGCTCCAACTCCTGCAACCCTGGATTTTGCGGAATCCGGAATAGCGTATAGAGAAATCCCAAAGCGATAAATGCCAGTTCGATATCGATCGCTGTGGAGATTCCGATCTATAAAATGTGTTTTCCTGGTATCACTGTGTTTTGAAGGTGCTGCAAAGTTCCGTGAAAGTAGCGAAACGTAACGTACTACTAGTGGAAGAACTTGCAAAATTATTGTATTTTAAGTGTTTGTGAAGACTCTATTTACCCGATCATGTATCAACCCGGCCAGTAAACCGCCCATTACTGAGGCTGTAGTCTGGAGTACAGAGAAAATTCCAGAGCGGATGGTTAGTTCCGTTGGGTCTTGGGAGATGTCGGCCAGGTAGGAGTAGCAGGATACTGGGATCTAAAAAAGAGAAACTTGCGAACGGTGAAAAAGCTGACTGTCTGACTCCCTTTAAAGGCCGTAGACAGTCATGAATTCCCAAGTTCTTTGAATGATACGAGAAAAAAATTCAAAACAGGTTTTTCAGCTTTTAAGTTGAAAGTCTTGCCATGCACGATCATTTAAAATTTCGTCTCCCTACCATTGCTACATATCCCGTAAATCCGGCAAAGATTCCGATCAACGTGGTTGTCCAGTAGGGTGTTGCCGCCGAATTTGATAGCGTAAGCATATAGCCATATTCGGTGACGAGAAGACCACAGATACCCAACAAAATGTTGATCTGACGGCCATGCCGATCTCCAAAAGCGCCTGAATTTGATAAATCAACTTTTTAAACATTTAGGATATGAATAAACCATTCTAAGGGATAGTGCATGCACGAAAAATCCGTGTTTTCCACTTACCTAACAAAGTATCCGCAAAAATGGCCGGAACTAAATAGGACAACGAGTTATACAAACTCCATTCAGCGGAATGTTGCTGGACTTTGTCTTCGATCGTGTGATTACTAAAATATTTTCTAAATTCAGACAGCACTTTTTAAAAATAATTTTTTAAATCTTTAAAAACTGCCAAGATATATAGCCTTATTTAAAAAAAACATACTTCAAATCCCAACAATCAACCGCTGGGTCATCACCATAGTAAATTTGGCAGATCCTGAAATGTTAAAATGTTTGTAGCGCAGAAACGATGTCCTTACCTTCGATAAATTTGGGGTGATTGCACCGTGTTCCCAAAAACATATCCAAAATACACAAGTACAATGATTGGCTCGACGCTCAGGCGCCGAAAAAATAGCCCTACGTCGATGCAAAATGATTTCAATTTTCCGCGCTTCATCTAAAGGGGTGTTTGAGCATTAATGGAAGGCTATAAATACGAGGAAAAAAGCAGGGAAAGCAACACACACAGATTTTATTGAATGCAAGCAACATATAAAAATTATTGAATAGATTTTTAACGCATAAAAAATATAAAGATAGAACTTCTGGGGAAGCCCCTAAATTCCTTTGAAATGAGCCATCGATTGCGTCTTGCTCAACGTTTTGAATCGCCCTCCGCGCCAAAAAAAAACAGTAACAAAAATGGCGAAAGTGTGAATGGAGGACTGACCAGTCAAAAAGCAAAAACGAAACAGAGGAACAGAAAAAGCAGCTGATCGAACTCTTTTTAGCTTTTTTGAAGTTGTCATAACGTAAAAAAAGACGTCAGCATCAGGAGGCTATCATTACGCTAGGTAATACCTTATTCTCCTAAAATTCGTTGATGTAAGACAAATTAAGCTGCCTCCTGGCTAAAGATCAACTAACTAGCTTCTGGTAGCTTTATCGGGGGCATGGAGGCTGGAAAAAGCCTTGTTTTTGCCGGGACAAACAACTGATTTGGAGAAGCGAAGGGGAAAGCGCGTCCGGTTTCTAGTAAATTTTTGTTTGAAAAGTTTGGCAGATATTTCATCGAATTTCGGTCCTAAACGATGGCAGAATTTCGCAAGCGGACGGTTTTGTGCCAGGAATCGAATAAAAGTAGTAAATCTTGCATAAAAACAAAGCTAAAGCTAGAAAGAACGCTTAATTAGAATCAATTATGCAACAAAACGTTTCAAGCAAAAAGGCCATATAAGAATAAAACAAGGAAAAATTCAACCCAAGAATTAAAAAAAAAATACTGAAAAACAAGCCAAGCAAGTAGCCACGTGCACTTCAAGGTCAAACGAATCAACAGAAATCGAAAAATCAAGGGTCCAAAAGACCGGAAGTGATGAGAGACATGCTTGAAAATGTTGAAAAATTTCAAAACAAACCGGAAACATAAACGCCAGCCAGTTAAAAATCATAAAAAAATTGCCAGAGGAAAACAAAGCCGGAAGTGATGCGAGAATGACTTGAAAATGTCGAAATCATCAGTGATGAGTGTCAAATTAATCAATGTCTATCGGAGTGTAATGAAATCATTCCCCGCCAATCCGATCAGACGGTCCATCAACTTCCGATGGTTGTCGCTCAAAGGGGAGTGAGGCTTGTCGTTTGTGGCCAATCAACCCAAAAAGGGACCCGCCAAAAATTTTTGGAAGATAACAGCGTCGATTGTGGTGCTTGTGCTGCCCTTGTTTGCCCCGGCTGTGGAAATGACGCATCCCGGCAAATTGGACTTGCATTCCGATGTGATTGCACGTGGCTGATGGGGAGGGGTACCTTACGGGGTTGGATACCTTAAGGGATAATGAAGAGCCGGTTATTAACATAAAATCACTAAAGTTATGGTGTACGGGATAAGTGAAGGTTCACAAATTCGTTTTTAGCAAATGAGATCGACGTTGTACCAGAGAGATGATCAAATTGTGAAAATCCACGGGATCTCTGGCTATCAAGTATATAAAGTCATTAGTTATCTGCCCGGAACGCCATTAGCGTCTACGGGACACGGGAAGTTTAAAGGGGCTCTTTCAGCAGCGTAGTTTTTCCATGATACGTTGAAAGATTTGCGTGCATTTCCGGGTAGAGAGCACGCCTTTTTGAGAGACACAGACATCTCGCATGCAGATTTTTCCACGATTCATGGAAAAATGAAACTGCTGAAAGTGCCCCTTTAAAAGCAAATTTTTGGAGAGGCAGTGTATGTCCAGTATTTGACCTTCGAAGTCATAGTAATGCCATTTCGAAATCGTAGCTCCCTGTTTTATTCATTAAAATCTTCTCTTTTTGGAATTTCCATGCCCGCTAAATTTAATTTGTGTATAAGCTTTTGTAAATATCTCTAAAAATATGTATGTTCAAAACTAAAACATGATATCATGTTTTATCTGAAGGGAAATCCTTTTTGGAACCACACAGCCGTCAGCAATGACTTTTTGACGTAGCGAGGTTCAGGATTTGCATACGTTTTGTGAGGTCAACGAAGCAACATATGTTCGATTTTGTTCGAATGAACGAGAAACCAGTTGGGAAGTTAAATTAAATGCAGCCTCAACTTTTTAGAGAAAAAGATGCAATAATACTTTCGATCAGCAGCAACCGGGGGCCATCTCCCATCTTTCCAAGGCCAAAAACTGATGGCAAACATTGAGTCAGACTGATGGCCTCTGTCTGGCCACCGCTTTTTGTGAAGGTTTTTCGGACGGCATCTAAGGATACACAGCTGTCGGATGTTTTTAGGTGAGAAAAACTGTGGAAATCTTTTATTTAAAACCCCAACGAAAGTTTTCAAATTCGGCAGTACTGAAATTGTGTTCGCTATTTTCTCGCTATTTCTCGTCTCATTTTTTTTGCAATATCGTGCGTTCGATGTGTATTAAATAAATTTATTGCCGCGTCATGGTAAAAAAAAATGTCGTTGGTGTTGGTGTTGTTGTTAGTTTGGTCAATCAGGCCTTGGGGGTAGTAGGGAATCCCTTGAAGTCGGGGCGTCCGGAGCCGGTGAAGCGCTGAAAAAGATACGGTCTCGCCTTCGCTTTTTACCCGATCTCTCTCTCTCTCACTCACTCTCTCTCTCTCTCTCTCTCTCTCTCTCTCTCTCTCCTCTCTCTCTCTCTCTCTCTCTCTCTCTCTCTCTCTCTCTCTCTTGCTCTCCCAACGCTCTTCCTCTCTCTCTCGCTTTCTCTTTTTCTCTCGCGCTTTCTGGCTTTCGCTTTCTCTCTCCCCTATGAACTTACGCCAAAATCAGGGCGTCCCGATCCGGTGAAGGGAGCTCCAGAGAAGCCGTGGTGACCTCCCGGGTGTCCGCTGACTAAAAAAAGGCGGGGTGAGAGGGGTTGGGAAGCTAAGCTGAAGACTTTTGAGTTTAAGTTACACCTCAAAACAACCCACAGCCTCCAGGGGGTCCGGAGAATCCTTCGGGCTTCTCGTGACTGCCGGCGCTGACCGAGAAGACGAGCGCCATGATGGCGAGCAGGACGAGGGTGGCGCAAGATTTCATTTTTTTGGGTTTTTTGGGGGAGTGGATTAATAAACCTGAAAAGAATGAATAAATAGTGAATTATTCGAATTAAAAGTAGAAATCGTATATGAAGGGCCGAGCTGAAGAGTTCAAAACTGGGTAGAATACATTTCTACGATTTGAATTAGCATATTTGTTGCACTAATTGTCGAAAGTTTCAAGCTTAGATAAGGTACCGATACGGTACAGTGCCAAAGAGTACAGTAAGGTCCGCCAATGTAAAGAATATGTATGATAAAACCTTGAGTATTAGGAAAGCTGCCCCCGAGGCACTACACTATGATACGTTTCAGTACGCTGCGCTAGAGCTACGCTACGTCCCTCTAAAAACTGATTTAAAGGTATCGGGATACATAATCGTCAGGAGAAGACTACGGTACTGTAGATATTACAGTCCCAAAGCTGTAGAAGAGCCGAAGCCGACTGGATACCTCTCATCCCCAAACCCAACTTATTTATGCTGTTACTGTAAAAAGTTCAGGGGCATCCAAACAACCCCATTGAAGGCAGGCTTTTCCGTCTCTCTCTCTCTCTCTCTCTCTCTCTCTCACTCGCCCTCTCTCCCGATAATCTCCCGCCCCTCTAAACGACCAGCGTATTGCATAATGATCAGCCACACAAAATTCAACGGGCTGAGTAATGGGCTCGCCGGGACCCTCCCCCTCCGATAACCGATGATGACGTGAAAAGCGTACGCTGATCATTTTATGGTGGTAGACGATTTTGATCGGCCTGAACCGGACAGACCAGCCAATTTTTGGGTGCTTGGCGGGTGGCCCCGGAAATTGGGTATTGATTATGGGAACTCGGAGCTTCCCATAAGCCTTTTTGAAAAATGAGGAAGCGGCTAGGGCAAATCGCTTAGATCGATCGCCTCGACTGGGATCCAAAAATTTTTAAAAAATAGAGGAAGCGCGTGAAAAATATCTTAAAAATGCCAAAAACCACCAATTTCGGATATCCAACTACCCCGTAGCGAGAAGGCAAGCCAAAAGAGGCCCTTCGAACGAAAGAATTCCCAAAACTGAATTCTGATGAATTCAAGAATTATCGAATTCTGAAAATTTTTACGAATGGCAAATATTATTTTTTACACTTTCATTATTTTTTGCACAAAAAAGCTTCCTTTTTCAGATTGTTCACCGATTTTTGAACCGAATGCAGCGAATGCAGCCTTGAAACCGCTCAAATTTTCCGTTTTCGTCCTCGTTTCTTGTTTCTTCCAGTGAGTTATGCCTTTTTCTTTACAGAGCAAAGGGATTTTACGAAAGAAGCCTTTTATACGCACTAAGGTCAGCACGATCCGGCACTATGGACGCGTTGCGTGCGTGTCATTTGTCTCTCCTAAGCATGGTTCTCGAATCAGGCAGACTATTTTCCAGATTTTTCCACAGGATTCAGGTTTGAATTTCTAATTCAATTTCCATCCTTTCACACTGTTACGACGATTTTCAGACCCGTTTTGTCAAAATCAGCCACAACATTTCGATACCTATGATAAACCCTCCTCCATCAAAACATTCCGGCCTGAACGACCTGCACCAAACCCATTTCTCGAACCTCCAAACGACGGATGGCCGTTGCATGGACTCAGTATATTGATTCAGCGCACCAAAGGTATGTGTGTACGCGACGCTCCTTTTTACGGAGTACCGGGCGATCCCATAAACGCTGAATACGATGCTGATGGTGATGATGTGCATGTTTTGACGCGGTGCTGGAACATCAACACACACTTTGTGACGGGATTTTCGAACGTTCTAGCGGATCGTCGAATAGCATCCAGGATAATGAGGTGTACCTGAAATCCGGGAATAATTGGGAAGAGGAATGGATGATGTTCGAAAAAGTGCTAGTCTTAGGCAGAAAAACTATGTAGAAGCTACAATAGCTTGGTTGTTTAAAAGTAGGTTTCATTTTAAGCCATCTGTCGCTGAGAACCAACGAGAGTTAGAGAGAGAGAGAGAAAGAGAGAGAGAGAGAGAGAGAGAGAGAGAAGAGAGAGAGAGAGAAAAAGAGAGAGAGGAGAAGAGAGAGAGAGAGAGAGAGAGAGAGAGAGAGAGAGAGAGAGAGAGAAAGAGAGAGAGAGAGAGAGAGAGAGAGAGAGAGAGAGAGAAAGAGAGAGAGAGAGAGAGAGAGAGAGAGAGAGAGAGAGAGAGAGAGAGCAAGAAGGAGTGAGAGTAAGAGTGAGAGTGAGAAATAGAGAGAGACCCAACTTCCTCAAAAACCGCCAAAAATAAATTCGACCAAGGATCGACCGCCGGCGGCCATATTTGCGCACCGTGGCGTATCTGTCATGGAAGCCCTCCAGGGGAAATCTTGGAGCTGATGTTCTAGGCTTTTTCGAATCTTTTTCCAGGCTCTCTCATCGATTTAGCAAAAATTTAAAGCTGTTTTATTGACGCCACTGACTCATTTTGTTGGGCTAACAAAAACTGTAAGCCACCTCATTGAGCGCATGGGGAAAGATCAAAACAATCAATAACCTATCAATAATCCTGAAAATGTTCCAGATTTTTCAAATGCTTTACTTTGATTTATTTAAGTTTGAATCTGGTCGTCGACCCCAGGTGATCCTTCAAATTGGTTCAGGCCTCCTCCTGCTGCCAATTTCACTATCGATGACCTTGCCCCCGTGTCACCCTACCATTTTTTCACTGACATGAGCGTGCTCGTTTTATCACCGTGAAATTGCTCCATGATGTGTTTCTGAATCTTTGACGGAACTTCGCTTTGTTTTCCCTGCCGATATGCAAGTTTCGCTTTCTTAAACAGCCATCTAGGAATTGAATAATCGAGAACGTTATAATTTGTAATTTTTAATTTTTCTCGAACTTTGGGTCAGAAAAAACGTAAAAATTTGGTTATAGAACCTAAAAAACCTAGTCTTAATTCTGCAATTTTTCTGACGCTGTGAACCTCATTTTTATACCGTAATCGGGTAAAAATTCTAAAAATGTTAAACTTCAAATTTTTACGGAATTTCTTGGATTTTCAGATTGTTGTGAACCATAAAAAGCAAGGTAATTTTTTAACCCGCTTATTGTTTGCGACGTTTTTTTTCACAAAGTTGTATAAAATTTTCTTTTGCCTATAATAAAAGTTTTCATTTTCATTTATTTCATTTCAAAACCCAAGCAAAACTTCCATCAATACTTTTTGCAAAACCCGAGAGCCAGCTGCACAAAATCTATGGCTCCGTGTTTCCAGTGTTGAGCAACGGGTTGAAGTCGGCCCGGCCCGGGGTCCGTCATTTGTGCAGCTGTGGAAATTGCCGGAAGCCCCCCGAATGTTGATGGGGAGGGCCGAGTCGAATGAAGTGGGTCCCGGTCTACGGCGCGCGAATTTGCCCAGCACTTCCACGTAGTCGCGGCACTTTTGAACGGGTTTCAAGTGGATTTTAAGCGTTTTAAGGGCTTGGAGCAGTTCTTCGGAATTCTTTTCAAAGGTTTTAGTGGGTTTTTAAAAGGTTAATTTTCCGCGGTACTGAAACGATTTCGAAACCTAAAACCCTAAAGCAGAAGTCTGTTCCTAATCCTGATCCTAAGCCTAGGACGAAGCCTACGCGAAGCTTAAGCTTAAGTTTGAGCCCAAGTGAAGCTTGAGCTAGGCTTAAGCTAAGCCTAAGACAAACCCAAGCCCAAGCCCAGGCCAAGCCCGACTGACCCTGAGCCTAATCATTTTTGCTGATTTTCGCACGTTTTGTCCACTTTTTGTGCTGATACATCATCAGCACACGCAGAGTCAAGAGCCCTGTCGTACGATAAGTGTTATTTGGATAGCGTCGGAACCATGATCTCTTCCTTCTAGTCATCCAGCCACTCCGGACAGCTGTTTATCTTGTGGCAATCAGCCAAGAATCCTCTCGTTATTTCTCTCTTCTCTCTCTCTCTCTCTCTCTCTCTCTCTCTGTTTCCTCACTATCTCTCTCTCTCTCTTTCGCTATATGCCTCGGTTCTATTTAAAGGGACCGCGAAGCCAAATTCCAACCCAAATCTAGATCGGTAGACGAGAACTCCAGATTTTTTGCTACCTGTGCATTGGAACGAACATGACCTCGTAATCCGAAACTACACAAACGCAACGTTCCGCCGAATCAAACAAAAATTCATTCTCTGCCGCTTACACAACCTCGCGCAATCGAATCGACTTTTCAAGTGTCTATCGTGAAGATCAAAAAGTTGCATTCAACGTCTGCGTATTGTTAGGGCCCTCCGATCTGGGTCCCCCAGTGGGTGCGCTGTGTGGATAGCGTGTCGGTGGGCCCTCGGACCTCCGAGGAGGTTCCGGTCATTGCCCGTCTCTCTCTTTCTCTGTCGCTCTCTCTCTCTCTCTCTCTCTCTCAAGCGCTTACCCAGAATGCACGCGCGGAACGGACGGACGGTGGAACCTAATCCTCACGCCTGGCCATTCCGTGGCGCTCCTATTCTTCTACCTGTTTTTGACGGCACCTTGGCCAGGTGATAATCAGTCTAGCATTGGCAGGGAAGTCTTCGGGTTTTGGCTTTTAGGTCAGAGAGGGTGTGATAGAGACTAGCCAGTCACTTGGACGTCACTTTTTAGGCGTAGCTGCCCAGTTCCAGCCATTTTTCACATCCTACGCACCGCGAACTTTCATCTCTCGCATTGAACAAGACTTACACCTAGATACCGTAACGCGCTGAAAGATCCCAAAGGAAACCTGCTAGCTTGCCGGGCTGAATGCAGACAACTCTGGGTCCTTTATCCTCCTGGATATTTGCTAGATTGCCTCAAGAGCTCTGGGAGTCGAACAAAGGGCAAGCTAGCACAGATACTTTGCAAATTTAAACCTTCTCTCTATTAATCTCTCTCATTCGCTCTTTCTCCATATTTAATGCGTTTGATTTTGGTTCCCACATGAGCTCGTGCTGGTAGGAAAATGACAAAATCAATGCCGCAACAACGTGGAAACTTCCCGCCATCTCTCTCTCTCTCTCTCTCTCTCTCTCTCTATCTCTCTAGCTTTCTCACGCTCTGTCTCTACCTTTTCTGTCGTGCTCAAAAAGTAGCGTTGACAATATTATTACCGTAACCAAATTCAAGGCCAAATTCGGAGTGTTTACCGATACAGAATTCATGGCTCATTCGTGTTCTTTCTTTCGTTATGTTGTTCTCTCTTTTTCTAGCATCCTCTCTTTTTCGCTCTGTCTCTCTCTTTCTCGCTCTATCTCTCTCTCTCGCGCTCTCTTTTTCTCTCCCTCTCTGTCTCTTTTTTCCCTCGTTCTTAAAAAAAACAAAAAACTTACCTTAACCAAATTCAAAAATCTGCCAATTTTTATTGCTTTCCCACGCCAATCCGTTCGGGTTGACAAATCGTCAGTGCGGCTCCTCCTTTTTCTCCTCGAGTAGCGCCTGCACGCTTTAGTAGCCGGGGGCACATCGATCCCAATGGGTCATCGGCTCTGACCCCTACCACACCCTCTCGTCCCTCTCTCCTTCCCCACTCTCTCACTTTTCGTCACCTGGCACGCATCCAACCGGCCGCTGCCTTTGAATGCGTAATTCCGTATGCTAATGCGTTCCCGGGATTAATGGATTTCACGCCCAGGGCAGTTTTGAGGTCTAGAATTCATAATTTGGGGTTTCTTAGCCTAATTTGCATCGAAAGGCGAATTTAAGCAGGAAATTCATTTGTGAAGTCGTTAAATAATAGTATTTTCGTGAAAATGGCCTACTTTTTACGCGAAAACTTATTTTGAATGCCTAATTCCGAATCCCAATACGTTGCTTTCGCACCTCAGGTTATTTTCAAGGCCAGAATTCATGATTTTGTGGCCAGATTCGCATAGAAAACCTGTTTTTAGGTCGAAAATAGGTTAGAAAATGCGTTAAAGTGTAATAAGTTTAGCGAAACTGCGATGTTTTTATTGCTTTAACGATTCATTAATTCCTATTATTTTTTGTATTTTATCAAATCGTTTCGATAAGTTTTTCAATGATCTAAACAGTTTTTTGTACCTTTTTGGCTTCTTAAATATGCCTATAACTTTTGCGAAGAGGTTTGTTGCTGTTTCAGTTTTATAACATAGCATTAATCCATATTTTATTGTTTGTAGAAAATTATTAGAAATTTTGCCGCTCTGGCTATCCAAAACTATTTTCCCTTAGGTAAACAAGCTCTAAATTTTTATAAATTTCTCTGATTGTAAAAATGCCTGCATTTGCTTTGCTAACTTATATTCTCCATCTTTTTATCTTTTTATGAAAAAAATAAAATCCATTTTTAGTGGGCCCTGGCCACCCCGACCCCTGTAGAACACCGCGGTGATGGTGCTGGTGGAGGCGGCGGGGCTTGTCTCGTCGCTCGAGCCCGGGGCGATGGCTTTTCTATCACTTGCCTCCCTCGTCACGATGGTGTCGATGGTGTCGATGTGTACGACGTGTTGTAGGAAGAAGGTTAAGAATAGGTAAGTGACGCTAGGATTCTAAAAGAATCGCTAGTCGGCGTAGAAAGGTCAAATTCGCTCTAGCGGTGCTAAAAACGCCTTGTTAGAAGATTGGAACCCACAAAAATGGCTTCAAGGAGCCTTCAAAGACAACTCATTTTCGTTATTTTTAGCGACCCCGACGATGTGGCCTACGGTGTCATCGTGGCTCCAGAAGACGTCCCGAAAGCCGTACAGTTCCGGAATGGAAGCGGAAGACAGAAAAGTGATCGTCACTCCCAACCAGGTGCCAGTAATAAGGTAAAAACCTACGTTTTTTTATCTTAGAAGAGGCGGTTTAGAGAGCGAGAGAGAAACTATCTTTTTGCCAGTCTAAACATATTTTTTCAGGCTTCAAACAGTGCAGCAGATCCTCGATCATCTGCACCTCCACGAGGACCTCGGGCCCTTCCGGATCTCCCGGAAAATGTGAGCTTTTGGGCTTTTTAGCCGCCTTTAATTTAAGGGAGAAAAAGCGTAGATGTCCATGAAATTCACGCACATCAACGCGTTAATTTCCAGACCTACGCCGCCATCAATAAAACCCGAATCGACAAGGACATCGAATACGCCGATGGGCCGACCCAATTATACGAAAGTATCGACCGGGATAACGACTCGACGGTGGATCCGTTTTACTCAAAGGTAAGGTATTTTTTCATCGATTTATAAAACTACTACTTACTATTTAGTAACTTAGTATATTTACTTAGTTGCAATGTCCAATTTAGGTCGCCGATCCACGATCAAATCGAAAATACGACTACCCGATATTTATGAAAAATACCAGAGTCCGAGACGCTGAGGATCCATTTTATCAGAGTGCTTCACAGATTTATGCGGCGGGAAGTGAAGATCCTTACAGGTATGATTGTTAAACACGTTTTAAAACGTGAGTTTAAAAATTGAGGTTTTTGTGTGCTCATATCTTGATTTTCAAAGTAGTTACGGGCGCTGTTTCCTAATTTCTTAACACAAGAGAATTCCGATTTTTAGCTCCATCGCCTCAGAACCTCGAATCGCTCTTGCTCAACAGGAAGACGACTCAAGTAGCGCCTACGATCCGGGCTATGCTAAGGTAAGCTACTTAATGTTTGCAAACGATACCCTACCAATTTCAGGTCAAGCCAACAATCGAGAAAACGGAGGCTGAGTTGGACCAATTGTACAGTAAAATCAGGAGAACAGAGTCGAGGCGAGGGGTGCGTTTTTAACAGTTAAATAATTGATTTAATTCGATTTTTAGGCCGAATCCCCAGTTCCGGGGCCAAGTACTCAAACCGACTTGGTGCATACCGTAGGTGAAATTACAAGAGAAGACTTGCTGGCTTCGCAGCAGAACCAAGTGAGTCAGAAAAATGCGGGCCCTCTCTTCGTCTCTCTTTCCCTCTCTCTCTCCCTCTTCTCTCTCTATTTCTCTCTCTCTCCCTCTCCCTCTCTTTATCTCTTTTCTCTCTCTCTCTCTCTCTCTCTCTCTCTCTCTCTCTCTCTCTCTTGCTCTCTCTCGCTCTCGCTCTCTCTTTCTCCCCTTCTCTCTCTGCTCTAGCTCCAATTTCAGGGCACCGACCAAACCTCTATCCGAGAGCCCTCATATCGATATATTACCGTGAGGGAGAGTGCTGATGTAAGTTCTCTCATCCTGTTTTACAATTTCCAAGTTGAAGCTCATTTAGAATAAACCAATTTTCCGTTGTATTCTTGACGTGTTCTAGGTGATCCGCGCTCGCCTCGAGGAACAAGGTCGCCTTGGGCCTGGGGGACTTCCGATCCGCGAGCATTACTACTCGACGATAGGGAATGAATACGAATCTGTGGAGGATGGGAGCACGACCTATGCAAGGACTGCGAGGATCGAGCCACCGAATCAATGTGAGCTTTAGAGAACTTTGTTTGATCTCCAAACTATGCAACTTATTAGACAAAACTAGGGTTCAACCCCCTCCAAAATATACCATTTCAGTCCCTCCCCCTGATGGTCTTTCGATATCGGTGAGCAACAACGAGTTTGCCCCCGCGCCTCCAACTTCCCCGATTCCGGAGCGACTTCCGGAGATGCTGAGTCGAGTGAGTTGTTGATTTCAGTGTGTGGCAAGCTAGCTCTGGGAGGAACCTTTGGACTATACCTACCTAACTAGGAGCGATTCTTTGAAGAATTCAAGAGCTCGGCTAGCAGTGATTCTTGGCGGAATGGCCGGAGCAGGCTAGCAGAGGTTTTGGAGAAATTAAAGGACAAGCCAGCAAAGTTACTTGAGGAAATTGAGGAGCAAGCTATTATCCGGTCCCTGAAGAAATTTGGGCAAGCTGATAGTGAGACAATGAATTTGGCGAGCAGGAGATCGGCCGAGAGAACTTGTGCAAATCCACCCCATTTTAGTCACCTCAACCCGGCCCTCAACAAGAACCTGGCACGCTCTACTCCTCCATCTCGAGAAGACCCACCCCATCCGGCCCCTCTCCCACGATACCTACCGTAGTCCGGGCCCCAACGCGGAGTCGACCGACCAGTGAGTCAAATGGTGGGTACTTCTGGATACTGTACTTTACGTGAGAGGTGTTTCAAATTCCTAAAACGCAGAAAACCAATTTTTTTGTCTCTGTTTCTGTTTCTGAAAAGTATCATTTGGAAACACCTCTCCAGTCCCTTTTGTTCCATTAACATCCTCTAAACGCCCTCATTTCCTAACAGACGCTGTTGTGGTGAGACCCTCGGTGGTGGTCGCGGATGGGGCATGGACGACTACGCGGGACTACCCCAATGACACCCGGCAAATGGAGGAGGTCCACGCATTCATGACGCGCCCACTGCTACCGTACGGCAACGAGGCTGTAAGCGGGTTGTTGCATGGAATTGCTTGAGTTTTTGAGGGGTTTTAAGGGACTGGGAAGGCAGGGAGTGAAAGTGGGATACAGTTATGTCTCGGAATTCTTGAAAATGAGTTTTTGTGCTATTTTGCACTTTTTCTCGCTACCATAGTTTAAATAGCAGATCCCTACCTTTCCAAACACTTTAAAGGGGTCCGGAAAAGCCTGGCTATGGATGGCTATGGCAACGGCAAAAATATCCACCTTCTATGACTTGGCCCTTTAATGCATGCGAATTTTTGTTTTGGTTTTTAAAGTTTGATTTTTTGGCTTAAAAAGCCATGTAATTAATTTCCGTGCTAACTTGAGCTTCAGCTACTCAACCGTCGGGTCACCGAGGAGCGGGAGGTGGTGACGGAAGAGCGGAGGAGCCGCGGGCCAATGCCTGATCAACCGATTTCTAGCTACGATAATGCACGGTGAGCTCTCTCTCCCGCTCACTCACGCTCTCTCTCTCGCTCTCTCTCTCCCCTCTCTCCCCTCTCTCTCTATCTCTCTCTCTCTCCTCTCTCTCTCTCTCTCTTCTCTCTCTGTCTAACCCTGAATTTCAGCTCCACCTTTCCCCCAACCCGGCCACGGCCCACCATTTCTCGAACAACGCCAAAGTTTAATTAATTCTACGCACAATCAAAGGTATCTATTAACTCTGGTATGTCATTTTACAATTAAATTACAGTATCTTGCCACACCAAGACGTCGTCGAAACGCCTCGTGTCTACAACGTCGAAATCAAACGGGTACCTGCTGGCCAGCAGGCAGCAACGGGAGATGGCCAACGAGGGCAAAACAGGCGGCCCGACTCGCTGGTGATGGAGGGGCAGGTAACTCATCCTTTTTAGGCTTCAAAGGTAACAAATTCCCTTTAGAAATCACTCCCCGGACCTTCATCACCAGGTCAATCGAAGCGAGACGAGGAGGAGATGGTCCGGTCTTACGGTAGGTCACCTACCGTAAGTCTCCGTAAAAAAATGAATTCTGGCTTAGAGAGACCTTTAAATGGAGCAAGTTTACCATTTCCATTCCAGAAAGCACCAGTTCACGCGGACGAAGCCAGCTTCCGATTGCTACTAACGACAGTGAGATCCGGGAGCACATCGGGAGAGCCAGGCAGCGACGACAGGAGAGCATTGAGAGGGAGGAGAGGGAAAAGATGGAGAGGGATCGAACGGTATCAAGGTGGGGAGCTTGTACTTCCTTAAGAAAACCGCTTACAGAATTTTATTTAATTTTTCTTAATTTCAGAATTAAAAACGGCGAGATTTTTTAGGTTGTACTTTGTAGTAAGACTGGCTTTCAGAGAACGAAGACGTCGTGAAAAAGTCGAAGAAGAGCTGAGAAAGGAGCGTCAGGGTACCGTATATACCTCCAACGACTATGTGAGCCCGATCGGGTTCAGCAGCGAACGGGGATGGCCATTAGTTGGTAAGTGAAGGGGATAGCAGGCTAGCAGAGAGAATTTTGGAAGAAGAATGAGGCATGCTAGCAGAGATCCTGTGCGGAATTCGAAACCTAATTAAATTCCGATTCCAGCCCAAGACTTGTCTCCGTCAAGAGACTCGTCGAGGTCACCGAGCCGCGCCGTCACTCCCTCCAGAACTCCAACTAGGCCTGCCAACATTTCCTATGTACAGGTTAGTCCGGGTCATCGGATTGATATCGTTTCGAGACCCATATGCATTTTGGAGGATTTTAAAGGGACTTGGAAAGCAGGAATTCATGGTTTTTCAATTTTCCCCTGACACTGGTTTCAATTACCCTTTACACTGTGGTAATCAATAGTAACTTACCATCCGCCGAAGTACGCTATGATACGCTACAGTACCCTATGGTACGATGTCGTACGATACCTTACGCGAAGGTACACTACAGTACGCAGCGGTACGCCAAGCTCGAATCAACGCTACTTTATGAAAAATGTTCACAAGACGATGTATTTTTGTTTTTTAGGTCTCTTTAAAATCCAAAACCGCGATTAAGTTAAAAAATACAGTATCCTTGCTACCTTATTTTCCCCAGCATGGCACAAATTTTGTATAGTGACTTATTTTACCTTTTCAGCATTAAGTTCGATCCCCGGCGCCTTGGGCCTGTGTTGTGTGTACATATTGCTACCTCCCCCGTGATCCCCGTGAATTTTCTCGATATCGTCGTCGTGTGGTTGTGCTGGTTGGTGCTTACGGTGGGAATGGAATTCGAAGCATAGAATTATTTCTTTTTTTCTTCTGAAGGGTTTGAGCCTAAACAATCCTTTAGAATGCCTCGCTTCTGCTCTTTGCCTTTCCGGAAGAGTCCGGTGAAACTGAATCGAAGAATTCTGGCGCTGGAGGTTGTGAGGGTGGAGCTTGTTTCTGTCACTCCAAGGTAATTTAGAGAAACGAGTATGTAAATATCTTGGAAATCTCTTTGTTAGGGTAATATGGAGATTTGGATCCTTAGATGCCGCCTGCCTCCGGCCACGTGCGTGGACATGTCCCCTCGTTCCTGCGTGGCTTCTCTCCCCGTCCGCTCCCGTCCCGCGTGGCTTCGTGCAGGGTCCCGTGGGTTCGCGTCCTGCGTGGTTTGCATTTATTAGAGGGATTGACAAGTCGGGGTCTTGCTGCTGGTAGAAGCTAGCAAACTGAGAAACGTGCCGAATTGACGAAAATCCCCTTTTTGGTTTTAAAAATAATGTTTTTAAAGGGACCGGCAAGTCAAATTTTCTGATGTCGCCAAGCCAAGTAGTAAAACTTGCTTTTACAAAGCGTATTTTTCGAATTTGAAAACCTTATGGAAAATGTTAGAATCCCGATTCCGCTAAAAGATAGCGCGCGTTAAAACCATTGCTGCGTCTTTTTACCTCGTGAATTGATGTAATGCATCAGTCCCACGGCCTTGAACAAACGATTACGACATAAAATCATCCCAAGGCGGCGTTGATTATTTTCTTCAATTCAGAGCTGATTTGTCTTTCTGAACCTAAAATTTGACAACTCTAAAAAAAAGACAGATCGAAACCTTTATGACCGTGGTTTGCCGCAGATTGTGAAAGGTAAAATCGGTTTGGATTTGAATTACGGTCGCTTTGCAAAGTTATACAAATTTCAGAGCCCTCGCGACGTCGTCGCCCAAAGCAACCGGCGCCAGATGACCGAGATCAGCTTCGACGCGCCGTCGCCCAATGTTTTGCCGCCCTTCGACCTTTCGTAATCGATAGATTTTTGGGTTTTTTATTCGTGTTTTGTATTTAAAATAATTCAATTTAGCATCCTTCACTTTGGAATTTCCTACCTAGTCACTGCCCAGAATTCCCACCCAAAGAGAGCCCCCCGAAGTGTCGAGACTGTGATATTTCCCCAACCGTTTTTCATCGCGTAATCGATTCACTTATATTTTGGCTGTAATTTGGTAATTTATTAAAGCTAAGTGTCACCCTAGATTCGATCGGCTTGGCTAGAGATCTCCCCTAAAATTAATTCGCTTTAATTTGAGTCATTTGCATACGATTTTTCGGTATCTATTTTGTTGTATTTGCATAAAGTTATTTGCATAATCTCGACTAAAATCGACAGCAAAATAATTGAGATAAATTTTTGAGATGTAGAAAACTTCAAAAGTAAGAATCAGTAGGAAAAAGGAGATGTCAAAGTACACAGTACAAACTTGGCAAGGCACTCGGGTCTTTTTGGGGAATGTAGTCACAGAAAAATCACAGAAACTGAGTGGACGGACTAAAATAAGCTTAGATAGCGGGAGACAGAGAGAGAGAGAGAGAGAGAGAGAGAGAGAGAGAGATAGTGAGTGAGCGAGCGAGATAGATAGAGAGCGAGCGAAAGCTGCAACTACCGACCACAACAATCAACTAATGGCATCTGAAAGCAGCAAGCAAAATTAAATAGTCAGATTTACGTCAATAGGAAAAAAGCTATGCAGAAACCAGTTAAGAAGCTCAGAAAAACGGAAAATGGGTTATTAGACGATTTTCTGAAGCTGTGACTGGCAAAGCAGAAATGTCGATTTTTGCAAATACACTCCCGGATGTCGAGGGTATGGTGTAGCCTGAAAATAGGATAATTCCTGGCGCAAACTACATGTTGTTGTTTTGAATGTTGTTTGCAAATATGTTGAAGTTTAAGATTGTCTTGTCACAATAATAGGACAAGAATGCTGTGCCCGTTATAAAATAAATGCCTTACTTTGTACACGAGTTCTCCTCCTTCTCCTCGAACTTCTTCGGGTCGACGGCTCCAAAATTCTCGGCACAACCCCGCAGCACAAATGACGCGCCTGAGATTTGAACAAACGGTTCAAAAATGTCCCGTTTTTACCTTGATTATGGTCATTCAAGACCAGGGTTTGGCAGTATTTATGTAGACATTTTTGCTTGTGGATCTTGGAGACGTTTCGGCCGTTCAGGCACTCTTGCGTCACGTGTTCTAAAAATGGATCGTCGATTGAATGGAGCTAAATAACGCGTATGATGGTGAGATACTTACGGTATCACCTTTAATAGAGTAATACTTACCTTTAGGATACTCGGTTCTACGCATTTGCAAGAAATTTTTGACCGAGGTTTGCATATCTTTGGAGAGGAGCTGGAGCGGGGTGACGCAGGAGTAGCACCAGTTTTCGTCTTGGGAATAGACTGAAATCATAGGTTTAACTTTTCGGTCGCTCTCTCTCTCTCCCTCTCTTCCTCTCTCTCTCTCTCACTCTCTCTCTCTCTCTCTCTCTTTAGCTCAGTTCTCTCTTACTCTTTCTCATGGGTTGGCTCTCCCTCGCCTCTCTCATGTTCTTGCTCCATCTTCGGCACACATTTTTACGATTTCCGCTCGCATCAGTACGAATCTTTCCAAATCACACTTACTTTCTCCCTGCCGATCTCCAGTCAACGGCTCGGCTCTCGGACTTCCGGTAAATTCCCCTCTCTCCGAATAATACAATGAGGGTCCGCCAAATTTTTGTTTGTACTTCATCTGGGTCTGCGGCTTCATTTCTTCATTAAATGAGCGTTCTTCTTCCTCGATTATCTAAAACAAGTTTTTATACTTTTTTCATTGGAAATCTAAAGTTCTAGGGATTTTTAATCACACCTAATACGTACTCAAAAATTTGTTTTTATTTTAAATGTTACAATAAAACTGCCTAAATGAGCATAACCCTTTTCAGGCTCGCCAGTTGCTCTTTTTCCCCCGTTTTTGAGGTCGACCTCCTCCCACCGGTAAATGTACGCGTAATGTTGAGTGCCTGTCGCAACCTTGAGTCCCATTTTCCGCTCCTCGGAGCACGAGGAAAAAATATCGGGGGAGCAACAGTAAATTTGTCGGAGGGTGGTGGGGGCAAGAAATTGGATTAAAAGTCTGGCGGGTGCGAAAGGAGCACGAGCTCGGTGCAGTCGAAATTTTGTGTGGTTTGGTCTCTGCCTCAGCATGGAAAAATTCAGAAGTTAAGAAGTTTGATAATTCACAAAATTTTGAGGTAAAACCGACCGCCTGTATCCTCCGCTGCTCATCATCAGCTCCCCAGGTATATATTACATTTAATAGCACAGAAAATATGAAAATATTTCTCAAAAACATCTCCGTATCGAGATCTGAACCCGAGTAGCAGCGATAAAAATTTCCTAGTCGGCTATTAATGTGTAGAAAATCGAATTCTGGTAATATATGGAATTTTCAAAGTAGTAGCAAACAAAGTAGCTTTAGAATACATAGAATACCGCCTCAAAATCGGTTAAAAAATGTAAAAAATCGGAGTATTGACTAGAATTCGATCCCGAACTCGATCCAAAAAACTCCACTCCTGCCCAAATTTGATAGCGCGTGAAATATAGGTCCAACAGCTGAAAAACCAGTTTCAGGAGCCGGAGTACGAGGGAATATTTTGGACAGAATACAGGTGGGGGGAGGGAGTGAGGAGGAGGAGGGTCTGTGGGGGGATCGATGTGGACGATCTCTATGTACGGGGGCTGTGCATGTGTCCCCCGTCTCTTACTGTCTGTCTGTCTACCCCGCCTGTCTCCCTCTCTCTCTCTCTCTCTCTCTCTCTCTCTCTCTCTCTCTCTCGCCCATCACCCAGAAAGTGGCCATTTTCCGGGCGATGCCACCGACAGCGATGTTATCGGGGAAGACAGTTGAGTCATTCTTAAAAAATCAAACCTGGAACGGCTAAAATATATTGCTTCGTAAGCAAATTTAAAGGAGCGTTAAAGCCAAAATTTTGAGGGATTTGATACTTTCAGTTAATGAATTTTTGGAATACCAAACGTAGGTCTCTTGGCTCTCTCTCGCGCGCACGCTCTCTCTCTCTCTCTCTCTCTCTCTCTCTCTCTCTCTCTTTCTCTCTCCCTCTCTCAATCTTTCACTCTGTCCCTCTTTCTCGCTCGCTTTCTCTCTCCCTCTCTCTCGTCATACTCGTGTTACGGGAATCCAGTCACATCTCGATTCTCAAGGATTTTCGAGCTAGCTGCCAGCCGGTATCCGAGTTCCGCAAAGAATCTTTGCTAGCTTGCCACGGCTCGAACACATCACGAAATATGCACAAATTAAAGTTTAATTCGATGCCTGATAGAACTTTACTTTTCTAGAGCACGCGGTAATACGTGTTTACCCTCAACAAATACCCAAATCTCACTAATTCCCCACTCCGGGCGTGTTGTCAGTAATGGTGCGTAGAGTCGCGCCCTATTTGACGCTCTCCGCCACGGGGGTGTAAAAGGGTATTCACGCGGAGCGCCCGTTCTGTTTGGCTGCCCACATTTGTGACTGTTGGCCGCGGGGGGTGGTATTTGTGCCCCGAGGGCACTATCCGCCCCCCACGCGACTCGAATAATTGCCACCCGGTTTCACGGAGCGCCCCCGCGATCGCACCAATTTGTCGATATTGGAGTAGGGGAATTGGGTGCGTTTTAGGAAGCGAGCACTGTATGTGGGGAAAATTTTATCAACCATCCTAGCAACCAAAAATTTCAGGGAAATACGGTGCCAATATTGTCTCTGAGCCCGGATTTCGCGATCGACCACTGTAACAATTTTCTGATTTTTTTTGCCTTTCCGCCTATAGGACCTGATGATAATATAAAATGTCGTTTTTTGTTTTAGTGGTTTGTGATACCTAGAAAGTTATAAAAACTGCTCTTAAAAAATCAACTTCGAAAATTTCTATCTCTTTTGGTCATTTTCCTACATTTTTGATGAAAAGGTCAAAAATTTTCGACAGTTTTTCTTAATAGTTTGAATCGTTTTTATTATTATCTTTGATAACCAAAAACTGTATAAAATACCAGAAAATGACTTATATTTAGTTATAAAGCCGCTAACAATTTAGTACCGGTGTACAGAATCCTTTAGCGATGTCATAATCTCCGCTCTTGGCAAATTCTATCAAAAAAATAATGTTTCAATTAGCTAATCAATTATGGTAGTTCATTATACCTGAAAAACATCGTTTTTTATGTAGTAATTGTTTTAAATATTTCTTGTTTTCCCAACTCAAATGTTAGCTTTTCTAAATCGGTATTTCCTTCCCTGTGAACTTGTTTGTTGGTTTGTGTACGTCTGTCCATCCATCCTCCCATTCTGACCCCGCTCTCCTTCATCCGAACACCTATCTTCCCCTCACCCACCAATTCCATCGTCTTGGGGTCACACCGTGAAGGCCATCGCTCTGTCCGTCGCGCGGCGTGACTGACGATGAAGGAGGACACAAGGGCTACGAAAATGGCCTAATGACACCCTAGCGTCGGGGTGGTGGATTGATGGGCTCAGCCCGAGGCTCGTGTTGCTCAAAAATTATTAAAATTCATTTAAATTAATTACCGTTGAGTCGTGTAGGGCGGCTTCATTTGACAAAATTTACCGCCTGGTAATCCAGGCTTTGGCAAATCGTTCGTAACCCTGGAAACCAATTGTTTCATCTTTAGTCAACCTCAAAATGATGGCGATTTACAGGGGTAGGCGCGAATCGCTTTTTCGAGATGAGCTGAAAGAGCATAGCGGCTGGAAATTCCATTTTAACCTGAAAAGTGAATTGCATTAAATTGTTAGCAGGGGCAAACCACTTTTTCTTTTTCCGGCTATACCTACCCGCTAATAATAAACACTGTGTTTTTGTAAGGTCTTTCGTGGATTTTGATTGCTAACAAATTATATAAAATTTGTTGACAATTCCTACATCCCAAAAAGACATACCTGACACGTTTTACCGACAACATTTTTCGGCAGTCCGAGCCCCATCGATACTCTTTCAACGTGAAGCGTCATTTCCTACGCGTGCTGGCGAGCACATCGTTTGCCTAAACTTCAAGCAAAATCGTACCTTTATTGGCGAAGAATCGACCTCGTGCTTCTCCTCGATTCGCCTACCGCCCGAGCTTCATTCTTCTAAATCGAGCTTTATTGACAAAAACTCGCCAATAAATCACCTCTTCTCGTTTCGGCGCCGCCGCCGCTGTTGTTTACACGGTGTTGGAGCGCGGGGCGCTGAAGTTCCCTGAAAATGAACTAGATTCATTGGAAAACGAGATTCGAGATGACGGAAAGTAGTTCGAAAGCACTTATGGTTGTAATTTAATAGCGCATCAGCCTTTAGACAAAAACAGTCATACAAAATTCTCCAAACTTGTTGATTCCCAGCTTTTTGGCAGCGAGTACAATCAAAGTAAGCGTATATAAGATTTATTAAAATAATTTAAAAAGAAACCAATAAAACCTACAAAATAAAAGCATTTTTCATCAAAATTATAAATAAAGGTCTTTCCCAAGCGCCCCTTGGCGAGCTATGGCGTGAGGCGCGAGGTCGCATTGTATTGAGGAAAGTCTAGTACTGCGCTGCCCCCGGGCTTTATGTGGCCCGACCGGTTTAAAAATCATTAAAAATCGAAAACAACAACTAAAAAACTTGTGAGGTATTTAGTCGTGTTTTTAGTAAGATAAAACTAGATTTTCACTTGAAAAACGGTCTAAAGACTTTCAAAAATTTTCAAAAAGTCAAAATTGTGGCCAAGAAACGGCAATTTTTGCTTTAAAAAACGATTTTTTGTTTCGTTACTAAAATTTGTAACCTTTTCTACGTTTAGGTATGTCAAAAAACGGTTTAGAAACACTTTCGCTATTCATCTTTGAAAAATCAGATACGAATAAACAAAATGTTGCAAAAAAATGCTTATTGGGTAACCAAGCTTCATAAAGTATTTTATTTAATGTTATAGTCCCAAATTAAATGTGCACAAATCATTCATCGTCCTCATCGTCGTCCATCACCTTATTTTCGTAGTGCGAGTGTGGATTGACCGTGTTGATGATCTCTGGAGGCAGGCGAGCGCGGTAGAACTGGGGAAATCATTGAATAAAATATGTTTTTAAACATGCTAGCATTTCTAGATAAAATTTTATATTAAATCAAGCTCAAACCCACCAAATAAACACACAACGTCAACACGGTCAACCCGGCCAGCACGCCGCCCAACAATGATCGGCACCTTATCGGTGTTGTGCTGATCAGCGGGACAGGTTTCAGCTGGAAATTAGATGTCGTAAACGGATGATGGCCATATGATCGTTTAAAGGCGCTGGGAAGTCAGCAGCCGCAAAATTTTTATGACTTTTCAGTAAAAAGAGGAAGGGCCGATCAAAAAACGAGAACTGTATCCTACCTTATATAATTTTGGAGCGTATCTCTGTGTGTGTGTGGATGTCACTTTCGAGGCCCGATTTGAGGGCCTTCCCGTGTCCCAAATGCGCTGATTTTTTGTCACTTGGGGAATCGACCCTCCTCTTTCCGATGGCGTTTTCAGAATTTCGATAAAACACGAGTTTACAAAGTTAAAGCCGGTTTTATTCATTTTGGGGGTAATTTGCATAATATGAAAAATACAAATTTCCTCATTCTTGCAATTTGCCCGCGCGTGTGTGGTCGGTGGGGGAAGGGTCCGAAGGACCGAGCTATCGGAAAGTCAAATTTCTCATGCAAAGGCCCAATTCCAGCGCCCAAGGCCCGCGAAGCGGGTTTTGGGCGCTGGTAGCTTCATAAAAAGCGAACGTGAGACATAGAGAGAGAGAGAGAGAGAGAGAGAGAGAGGCGTGAGGGAGTGGGAGAAGGACCGAGGGATCTAGAGACTGATTGAGAGTAGGAGACTGAGAGGAACTAGGGACCGAGAACGAGCCTGAGAGACACTTAGAGATAACTAGGGTGACAGGACAGTGGAGAGAGACAGGGACAGGGAGAGAGAGAGAGAGAGAGAGAGAGAGAGAGAGAGAGAGGGCGGGAGAGCGCGCGAGAGAGGGAAGACCCTCAAAACCAAAACCGACGTTAACCCACTTTCTCCAAACGTTGTATCCGCCCCAGATTTGAAGGCTTGTACCTTGAGAAGGCTGAACTGGATGCTAAAAATGTTTGATGTTTAAGGTAGTACTGTCTTTCCCGATTTAAAAAACTTCTTTAGATTTTAAGTAGCAACACCAGAAAACCCACTAGGCCAACGGCCCATATTTCGGGTCGCTGTTGATGGCGAATTTCTGTTTGCTGGGGCAATTTAGAGAATATCCGTTTGAGGCGTAGATGGAATCGGCCAGATCTGGAGGCTCAGCCGGGTCGATGTGCTGATAGTAGGTGTGGACGGGGTCTGAAAGATGACAACAAGCTCTTTTAAAAGACATGTAAGCTTAGGGTGGTTTTTTAAAGGGGTTGCAGGGTAAGACTATAATTTTTTAGCTTTCCCGTATGGAATTTGGTACGCAAACGTTGGTTTTTACTTGACGGCACTCTCCCTTTAAAGGTAGTGGGATTTTGGCTGTCGGGATTACGAATGTTGGTATTCTGGCTGTCAAGATTTTAGTTGTCGGGATTCTAGCGTTTTCCGCTTTAAGAAATAACTCACTGTTCCCATCAATCTTGAAATGCGCCGGGTCTGTCGTGTAATTTGCAGTGATGTTGACCTGAAAAATTAAAGCTCTCCAGGTTTTCAAGTGGTTCGAAGAGCACCAAATCCGACCCTCAACAACGATTAGGTGTCGACAGTTACGTGTGAAGCGAAATCGCGGTTGCAAACGCATTTTGACCTTTGCCAACCGCGCTGAAAGCGTCACAAAAGTGATCCCGTGTTGTTCTGTAACTCGACGTAGCTGTCGATGCCTAGTCGAAGGGATAGGTCGTTTTGGCATTTCCTAGGGCCTTTAAATCGCAAATCTGTAGCGGTTTTTGGTCCCCAAGAACCAGAAACTACGATGGGTTTCACCTCCATCCCAAAATCGAAAAAACGGAAATCGATTGGACGTGAAAACCATCGTCAAAAATACCTTGACAACCCCTTTAAACCACCAAAAACCCACCTGCAGCAACATCCACTGATTGTCGCCGAGCTTCAGCTCCTCCACCCTGGCAAAAGCAAAGGTGGCCGACCAGCCGTTCCAGTCTTGCGTCGGCGCATCAGCGGCCTCCTCTCGATCACTCGTCAAATGAGCCTTCGAGTCAAAGTTCAGCTTTAACACTTGGCCCTTGATATAGTTGCCATTTAGGTAGAGCATCGCGTCACAATCCCCGTCTGTGGTCGCGGCAGCCGGAACTTGCACTGGGACGTCGACCTGAAAAAAGAAATTGATTTTGTACGCAAAATATGCCAAAACTACGCGACCCTCCAAAAAACATCAGTTTTGGCGTCGTTTGACGCGTCGTGTATCTGGTCAGACCTAGTTGGCGCAAAAGTTGCGCTAAAAACCTTTACAAAAGCTTTTGCGCAATCTGCATTGTCGCGTACTTGTCTAGGCCTGGTCCACGGAGGGGTAGATTTTGCGTTTCTGGGATCGTTCGTTCCTAATAAACATATTTGGAAAATCGAAATACTGCCCGCCACCCCCCAAATCCATGGCGATCTTTCAGCTGTATGTTCCGCATAATTAATCCCAGCAAACAAATAAAAATTCAAGAAAAAAATTTTGGCGACGGTTTACTTTACCCCCCCCCCCCAGCCGGAAGTTTTTGGCTATAACTTTTTAATTTTACATTATTGTAGGCTCAAGTTAAAACTCTGAGTATATTTTTCGACGCTCTATCGAATGGCGTTGCAAAAATCCCGACAAAATAAGCGAAAATATCGAAAACTTTGAGACCCTTCGGCTGTGGGGGGGGGGGTAAAGTAAAATCATACCAAAATTTTTAAAAAGCAAAGGAAAAACCGTCGAAAAATAACCAAAAACTTGGTACTGCCTGTTTTTCGTTCAAAAAAAAAGAATTTTTAGCTATTAGAGTTAGATTTGGCCACCTAACGCGACTCCAAGCGCTACCTACCTGTTCCTGACCGGTTCCGGAATAATACGAAAGCGTAAGGTCGATCTGGGCCCACATCATAATACAGGTCGTCCCGTTTTTCGTCAGCGTCCACTGACCTCGCGCCGTGGTCGCGCTGCCTGCTGGCGTGACGCCATTTAGGAGCGTGGAAAATACTGAAAACCTCGTTTTAAAGGGACGTGCAAGGCAAGGCTGCACGCTTTGTTATGCGTAGACTTCGGCTTATCTTTGACTTAGAGGTGGACTTAAACTCAGGCGTAGGCTAAGCTCCGGCTTAGGCTTTCCCTAGCTTTAAGCTTGTTAGGAGTTAGCTTAGGCTTCAGGCTTAGGCTTAGGCTTCGTAGGGAAAGCTCGGAGTGAATAGAAAAACTGACCCAACGCTGCCCAAAACATAGGCTTTATCAATTAGGGGGTCCGCGAAAGTCCCGGGAAATCCAAGCTGGGCGGCCAGGAAATCAATTCGGTCGTCTCGGGAATTGACTTTCCAGCCGCGGCTTATCAGGTGGCGCACGTGTATAAATTTGGGAGCCTATAAAAGTTTAATGGGTCGTTTTGACGCCGGATTCCGGAATTGCTACTATTCTTGGGGGTAATGGAGCGACGAACAAATTTTTGGGGAATCCGATTTTCGGAAATAAGCAGTCCCGTGGTTGTGGCTACCGCCCAGCAGTAGAGCCCTAACTGTGGCCGCGGTCCATCTTCGGATAAAGCTCCGGCTCTAAGCAAAATGGATAAATTATTTTATTGGAATTTTACATTAAGAACATTATTATACTCAACTTCTTTAAGTTTATAAACCGACAATCACAAGGTTGTGAAGCTCGCATGGCAATCTGTGCGAAAAAATAGAAAGTCTTATTTGGCTCGACCCCCTAAACGACAATTGCAGAAAAGGATCACCTAAATTACAGAATTCGAATTGCCCAAATCATTATTTTGGAAGCCAAAGATTTGCAGCCAGACGGCTTGGCGACCCGGG